AATGGGCATTTTAAATTGACCGGATGCTGATTGAGATTTAAAAGTTTTGAACTCCTGCCGGCCCTGGAGACTCAGACCTGTGTTTGGGTAGAACCAGGGAGGACTTCACACCTGGTGGTGTTAGAACCAGGCAGACTCAGACCTGTGGTGGTTAGAACCAGGAGACTCACACCTGGGTGCGTGGCTAGAACAGGGAGACTCATGACCTGGGGGGGTTCGAACCAGCCAGACTCGACCTGGGGGGTTAGAACAGGAGACTCAGACCTGGGGGGGCTGAACAGCAGACTCAGCCTGGCTGGGCGTGAACCAGAGGAATCAGACCTGGGGGGTAGAACCAAGGAGGGACTCACACCTGGGGGGTAGAACCAGGAGACTCAGACCTGGCGGCGTAGAACCAGGGCAGACTCAGACCGGGGGTTAGAACAGGAGGACTCACAACCTGGGGGTAGAACCAGGAGACTCACACCTGTGGTGGTTAGAACCAGCAGAATCAGACCTGGGGGGGTAGAACAGGAGGACTCACACCTGGGTGTAGAACCAGCCAGACTTCAGACCTGGGGTGTAAGAACCAGGCAGACTTTCAGACGCTGGGGGGTAGACCCAGAGATCAGGACCTGGGTAGAAGCGCAGCAGACTCAGACCTGCGGGGGTAGAACCAGGAGAATCGAACCTGGGGGGTAGAACCAGGGAGAGCTCACACCATGGGGGTGAACGCAGGAACTCAACCTGGGGGTTAGGAACCAGGAGACTCACACCTGGGGGGTAGAACCAGGAGACTCAGACCTTTGGTGGTTAGAACCAGGAGACTCACACCTGTGGTGGTAAACCAGGAGACTCGCACACCTGTGGGGTAGAACCAGCAGACTAGACCTGGGGAGGTTAGAACCAGGAGACTCAGAACCTGGGGGTAGGAACGCAGGAGACTCACACCTGTGGTGGGTAGAACCCAGGAGACTCAGACCTGGGGGGTAGAACCAGGAGACTCAGACCTGGGGGTTAGAACCAGGAGACTCACACCTGGGGGGTAGAACCAGGAGACTCAGACCTGGGGGGTAGAACCAGGGCCCAGGAGTTCAAAACTTTTAATCCCTATCTGATCAGATCAGATTTGGATTTTGGGGAGTTCAAAATCAAAAAACAGGATTAGGATCAATTTGATATCCGATCAGATCAGGAAATCCAATCCAAGCTTTAATCTGGATCAAATCTTCAAAATGGGTAGTTCAAACCAACAACACAGGATTGGGATCAGTTTGATCCCAAAAAACTGGACTATCTTGATCCCACCAGAGGGGTGGATTTCCAGTGGATTACCAGAGCAAAATGTACTGTACAATTTATTTTAAAATATGTTTCAATTGAAATAAGATGGCAACGTTTGTTAACTGAAATAATACACAATTTTTAGCCTTCATTGGAAATCAATTTTATTTTTCATTTTTTGGTCACATTTGTGGTGGCCTATTTTGTTTTCAACCAAATGTTGATGACATAAATGTTTATGCTCATAAAAGTATCACAACAAAGATTGTCAATCACAAATGTAATTTAGATTAAAGAAAAAATATCTTCAACAAAAATAATGTCCATTAATTTGTCATCACCTTTCAAAAGTAATTGCCGACAACTGATGTCTCTGCAATGTGGTCTCTTGTCTTCCTTGTATTATTTTTCATGTCCACTAGATGGCGATCGGTAGGATTATAGCACTGATATTCAGGATCTAGTCATCTTGAAAAATCGTAATCTGGATCAGGCTGATCCTATCCTGAATTGCTTTGAACTCCAGGGACCACATTTGGCCGATTTGTCTGATGCTGGATCACACAAAATGGGATTTCAAAATCTGATCGGATCTGATTGAGATTAAAAGTTTTGAACTCCTGGGCCCTGCTGGTTAGATTATACAAATTAGAAGAAAAAAAAAAGTTTTGTACATAGTTTTGGTCAGCGCCATATAGTCTATACGGCGCTGTTTTTGGTGAATATTTCCTGTGTGAAATATTGAATCCATTCAGATTGCAACTCCAGCCACTCTTGGAAAGCGTCTGGAATACCTGTTTACGGTTTACACCATCCATTTTGAGGGCTGATACGAACACAGATTACAATCCCAAATTGCGACTTTAAGGATGTCTACAAGATTTAAGTGTATGTTAATCACTATTGCCGGCAATACAATGTATAAGAGTGAAGCTAATGAGTATTTCCAAGAGTAAATATTCCCCAACATAATGCAAAAATAAATGTTTCCTGAGTTGTTGGTGTGCATGGTATAACCAGCAAAAGACCATAAATGTGTCTGTCTATCTATCTATCCATCTATCTATCTATCTATCTATCTATCTATCTATCTATCTATCTATCTATCTATCTATCTATCTATCTATCTATCTATCTATCTATCTAATCTATCTATCTATCTATCTATCTATCTAGGAGAGGACGGCGTTATTGGCTTGTTGTTTTGACGAAAATGTTGTTGTTGCCCAGTTGTAAAAAGACATTCTTGGTGATCTAACAACGGTTTATTTATCACTAACTGATCCGTCAAGCTCAAATCCGTCAAAAAATATTATACTTTACCGAACTCCTCCAGTTCAGTCATTTAGGTTATTCATCCAAACAACTTGATGTATTTTAAGAAGAAATAACACATTAAGGAAAATACAATTGTTTGTACGTTTCCAAATCGGTTTTGTGCTCCCACAAAATGTACTACCATCCACCTTTCCTAAAAGGTTTAATCAAGTATTTATTTCGGTTTTTAAGGAGTTCCAGCCAATCAGAAAACAGTTTATTGGGAGGCCGTTGTTAAGTGCGTTGCCGAGGAAACAAACCACAACGCAGTTCTAAATCACCCGTTTATTCACCTACGGACTGGTAGGTTTATAACGTACTTGTTGTATTACTTATTTTGTCAGTTCAACAACATTACATGTTTCCCTTTTACGCTTGGTGTAACGTTAAGTCACGGAAAAGGAGTATTTAACCATTTAACAAATATTTTACATCACGTAAAGTACTGTTAACAGCGCGTGCCAGGGTGAGTGAAAACCTAGGAAATGCGAAGAAGCCGTTATTTTTCTGTAAGAAAACAAATTGTCTTATAAATTACGTGAGTTGACTTTAAGACACTTGGGTTAACTTAATTTCCTTTAAAAGTAGCGAATATGTTTTAATGACTTGTTGCAATAAGGACTATAAGTTTGCTACTGAGAAAAGTAACCTTACCTTTTTACTGTTAGCCCATGAGCATATTAACGTAAACCAACGTCTTGGATAATGTATATAAAGTTATATGTTACTAATGACAATTGTCTTCTTGACCTTTGTTGTTTTGCAGGTGAATGTGCTACTAAACACAGTCAAAATGACAGCCATTCCGTGTTTAAGGAGCAAAGTGCCTCTCAAGCCAAAAAAGGTGAGGATATAATGTCCATGACAGCCTGCAACTTCACACAGAATTAGGTTTTTCTCATGAAATATCAGGGGCTTAATTTCCTGTCACCCACGTGTTGGACAATGTTTCCTTTCTTTTCAATAAAGCTGCTTCAAATGACAGATTATCCTAATAATTACCTTGGGTCCTTACAGGGAACACAAATCAATGTCTGACTGCAGTGTTTTGTTGCAATGACCTCGGCTCAGCAAATTGTTGCCTCTACTCTCTATGTGTGTGCTTCTGTCTGCACAGTAGCCTACTGTAGGTGACAAGAGTAGAACATTCAGTATGCTTTACTAAGATTTTACCCTGGTCAAAATGAACATCTGCACTTAATGGTGAAACTTAAGCAAATTCATACATATTCAATAATTCAACAAATAGCATTAAATAATATCTTACATTTTTCAGTAGTCCACGTTATGTCTATTGCTAAGCACCATAACAATACAATATGCTGTAAATATGGCAATAATAAGTAACATTTGTAAATAAAACAGGGCAACTATTATAGCCTACAGCTATGTAAAAAAGTTATGTAGGCTATTATGCCCATATCTTGCAACATTATTTCTCAACTTGCCTTTTTACAAATAGTGTTTACTCGCGCAACTTTGTTGTCTCTGAATAATAGAAAAAAGTGTATTATGAATACACACTAAACTGGCAGCTATTCAATATTGCATATATAAAAAAACCTAATAACTCCATCTGCTACTACATTATTCATTTTAAGATAAAAATCTTTCTGACCAAACCTTGAAATAGGCTAAGTGCAGTTAGATGTTTCTTTGCTTCTGGTGCAGAGGTGTCAGAGGATTGTGTAGAGAGGAAAGTAACCACAAGAAGCTGCAGATAGCCCTCGCCGCAGGGAAGACTATTAACATTCTTTGAGCACTTTACATCAGTTGATGTCAATGTTCTTAATGCAGGCGTTTGCACATATGTGTCAGAGCTGAGAGCTTTAAGTCTTCAGCTCTTGTGCTCACAATCTCCTTTCTCTCTATCAGTTGTGTTTGATGTGATGCCTCATCACTTCTGAATGAAGAGACAGGAAACAGTGCAGTTAGCACAATGAGCTGCTTTGTGTTTGCAGGTGACTCCATCTGTGTACACCCAGGAGATGTTGCAGTCCACAGAGGAGCGCCTGGCTAAACTAAAAGAGATGCACCAACCCCGCATCCTGGAACATCTTGACATCAGCAACACTACACATCACAAAGTATATGCCAGAAATTGTTCTTTTACGCCCATAGCTTGATACAGTATCTTTCTATGCTGTGACTATCCAAAACAGTTACAGTAAACACAGTTATACTGAAAGGTTAAACAAAAACATGTCTTCACTGCACCACTCTATTTCAAATAGAGTGATGAATTAAACTGTTTAAAAATGTCATAGTTCTATTTTAATTTGAAATAGAGTGGTGCAGTGAAGACATGTTTTTTTCGGGCTCCCTTGACAAAACCAATGGGATTTTCCCATTGTATGTTTTCCATTTATGATATTTAAACTTTTTTTGGCGGGATGATCTTTACAAATGAAGACAGCTTTATTGTATTTAGAAGCTAAATGCATTCGCTAGAAGTACGACACTAACGCTGGACTAAAAACCGACTATATCCCAGTCACACAACTTTCATCATCACCACTAAGCCAAAGGCGCACTCGCGTTTGGCATGATGACGTTTAATAGTCTAATTTAGTAACTTGTAAGCAACCTACATTTTTATATCACATTGAAGCTTCGGATATTCAAGAGTGGGGTGTTTACTGACATATTTAATGCCGTAGAACAAAACCTGAAAATCTCTTAAAGAAGTCCTATTATGTTTTTTGGGGGATTTTTCCTCTCCTGTAGTGTGTTATATAGGTTTTTGTACATGTCAATGCAACCTCTTTTCCCCACACACTCCCCCACATACTGAAACGCCTCCATTGGGCTCCTTTGTTTACTTCCTGAAAATAGTTACAACACTATGTAACGCTCTTGCTTTTATTGGCTAGCGTTCCAACACATTGTACTGTACGTGAGTGCTAAGGCACTGGAGACATCTAAGCGGTTGACCAATCACAACAAAGCTGGCTGACTAGCCAATGAAATTATATTCTGAACAATAAAACATGTAAACATGTCACAGTAGAGGCACAACATACAAATATGAACCTGAAAAAGAGCATAATGTCCTCTTTAAACTTGCGTTAAACACACAGACCTTATTACAAACAAATAAACAATGTTAAAAGAACTGTTCAAGACAAAGAAAACGGATGTGGTGAAAGGCTTACTAATTTACATATTTTAGGATTCCCACACCACTTTATGGGTATTCTAGTTTTTAATCATACACTATTAACAACAACTGTGACAGTGACAACAGCATACCGCAAAAGATAAAAGTCAGACAGGAGTTTGTCATTACCACTTCCTTTTGCAGACAAGCCTCAACTACTTACTTTTATCTTTATGAGATATAAACCCTGGGGATTCTACATTACACTTGAGACTCAGAAATACATTGAAAACTACATTTGGTTTTGACAACCTGTCTCCTCACTTCAAAATACTTCAGCACCACGTGGATGTATAATGAGGTGTATACAATTGCCTATTTAAAATGTTCCCAATCTCATTTATATTCAAATTCAATTCAATTATATTCACAACAGTTTAAAAGTACAATACAAAAAAATTTTAATATGAGAAATAGGACACTCCAATTTGCTATCAGAACCTTGAGAAGAGGGGCCCCGACAGTAAGAAAGTGTTTAAAAAATGTATTAGATATATCTGGAATTGTAGAGACTTCATGTTTTATACAGAAACGTTATGAGCTAAAAATACCAAACACTAACCAAATACCCCCCGTCTATTTTGGTTTAAAACAGCTTGGATACAATAAACACAGACACAATACTAGGTAAGATAATGGTACAAAATAAATGCATTTCAGTGTAAAGTACATTTGTTGGGAAGTCCCCAGCCATTAAGTGTATTTAAACATTAACATAGTAGTAATAATATAGTGACTTTTTAAAGTGTGATCAGCCTTTTTAAATACATGTTATAGCATTATCAATCTCATTCTATACTAGTGGACCTCTTTGCTTTCCTGTTTTATTATGAAAACTTGACTGTACCATTAGAGCTTTTTATTGTACACATTACATTTCATTACATTGCATTTAGCTGACGCTTTATCCAAAGTGAATTACAATAAGTGCGTTCGACCAACAAGATACAACCTTGAAGAAAACAGAATCATATAAGTACATCAGGTTTCATAGAGCCAAACATTTCAAGTGCTACTCAACTGGCTTTAGATAAGCCAGTCCTTTATTAGTATATAAGTGCTCTGTTAGCAGTTCTTTGTTAGTAATTATATCGCTCGAAGTGGAGTCGAAAGAGATGAGTTTTCAGTCTGCGCCGGAAGATGTGTAAGCTATCTGCTGTCCTGATACACCTTAGCACCGATTACCATTCTTGGTTTAAACGGAGTCAAACGTTAGGTCTTAATGGGCTAAACGAATATTTACATTTCAATAGATATGTCTAATTAAAAGAATGGATATGGGTGACTTATTGGATGGCTGGATCAGAGGGACAAAAAGACCATGAAAAAAAGACACCATCTCATTATATCATCATTAATCCCCTGCATACAGAGTTTGTGCTGTCTGCTAAGGTCATTTACACTGTACCAAAGCTGCTCCCCCTTAGTCAGCAGACACTAATTGATGGGCAAAGGGCATCCAATGTGACTGAATGCTCTGTACTTTTAAAGAGCTAACTGTTATCAAAAGTTTGTGAAATGTCTATGAAATTTAAAAAACGCCCCCTCATCATAATTAGGATGACCTATTTTTGCATCTCAACCCTGTTCCAATTTTTGTTGACTTGTCCAATATGCAAAATAAATGTTCAGTAACCCCCACTGTGGCTAACTGCAGGTGATAAGCAGGAATAATGACCTGCAGGATCTTTTTAGGTCATCCTTAAGGCCCCGAAATAGCAGAACTTCAATATAGAACCGTATTATTTTCACTTTATGACTAACATTGATGCAAGGATATGACAATGGCTTAGTTTAACTGATGACATATTTTTTAAAGGAATAGTTAAACATTTTTGGAAACACGCTTTTCCCCTTATTTTCTATTTCTTTGATGAGAGGATCGATTTTACTCTCATGTCCATCAATACAAAACTGGAGCCATTAGCCAGTTAGCTTTAGGTAACATAAGGACCGGAAACAGCTAGCCTAGCGCTGCCCAAAATATAACAAAATCCCCACTACCAGCATGTTTAAGGTTCACCAATTAGAATATATCTTTAAAATGACAGCTTACAGGGGGTCATGTACCACATTAACAATCAGCTTCATCATGTCTTCGAGTCTTTATTCTAAGCAAAGCCAACCAGATGGTGTCTGTAGCTTCATATTTAGCAGACAGACACCGTAAGAGAGACTACAAATAAGCATTATAGATTCTGAAATGTCAATTAGATTAAAATGTACCAACAAAGAAAATCCATATTTTTCTTCTTTCATATAGTGCTATTAATCAATCTGGATTGTTTAAATGTGAGTTTTGGAAGGTCTGTTGGAGATTTCTGCCTTTTAAAACGCTCAAAATGCTGATAAAATACATTTCAAAACTCAAAGCAATGCCTCTTTTCAGAAATCATGACCCGATTACTCGAGATAACCCACAGACATTATTTGTTTCATGTAGGAGCTATTTCTTTGAACCAAATGTTCTTCAGTTAAGATGTATTTTGACATTTTTGGGTGAACTATCCCTTAAAAATAACTTGGATATAATGTTTGTTTTACTATGTAGAATAGATCATATCTGGCTTTCTTTAATAACGCAAAATTAAATGCTTCATCCCCCAAACGGGATTGCATATGCAAATTTAACACATTTAACATACTAAATACATGAAGTTAGTAATAAATGTTTTGGAAATAAATGTACCCGTATACAAGAAGTCACAGGAAGTAATTGACTGTGTGTAATTTGGGTGTGTGTCACCTTAAAAGCAATAAGAAAAACAATCGCCTTTTAGAGATACATACTCTAAGACACGGATGGCTGTATATGTTGTGTTTTTTTAACGACAGCGTTTTGTTTTACTGTTTTTGTTTTACTGTTTTTGTTTTACTGTTTTTATTTTACTGTTTTTGTTTTACTGTTTTTGTTTTAGTTGTCCGTAGTGGGTATGAATCAGTCACTTTTCCAGCCCCATCCATCTGAACTGGTCTTCCAGAACTTCACTCCTGGAAAAACCTACACACTACCTCTACGTCTCTACAACAAAGACAAGGTGGGTGAATGGGAGATTATTACGTAAATAGCTACACTCACAACGGGGCTACTGAGCTGATATTTCAGTGAAATGGAACAACAGAAACAGACAGCATGGACCATAGCAGGAGAAAAAGGCTACGGTATCTGCTTGTGTGTGTTTTTGTATGTGGGTTTGTGTGTTACTAAATGATTGGAAAAGGTCACAGGGGATTGCAAAAGATTTATCGCTGCAATTTGTACAAGACACCATCCAGTAATGAATAAATCATCCCTTGTGTATCTGTGTGTGTGTGTGTGTGTGTGTGTGTGTGTGTGTGTGTGTGTGTGTGTGTGTGTGTGTGTGTGTGTGTGTGTGTGTGTGTTTGTTGCAGTGTGGCATTTCTCAGTTTTTTGAAACTTTTTGTCATGTTTCTTTTCTGTCAAGGTTTCACGTAAAGTGAAGCTGGAGCGTCAGGACTCAGACTTTTTCCATGTGGCCGGACCAGAGGATGCTGGCAGCCGGGTCGCACCAGGACTCGCCGCTTCTTTTACTGTCTCCTTCACCCCGCAGGAGAACAAGGTACTGCAGACAGAGGGGAGTTTGACTGCTGCAAAAAATAAGTGAGGGATAATATGCAGCAAGTCATTAATGAGAAAAGAACCCCAACTTACCCTGAAGGATACTTACTGAATAGAACAACAATTTTACTATCAATATTGACTTTAAAGGATTTTATTGTTTTAACAGTGATACTATTTCTTCCACTAAGAGACAATAATCTGTTCTACTGCAAAGCAACTACTGTAACTGCAGCAACATTAACTTACATTGCCGGTAGCTCTGATTGAGGTTTTCTGCCCTGTCACTGTCCAAATCAGTTTTTACTCTCTTTTCCAATAACCCGTTTTTAAACATTGCCAGAGTCCATACCGTGTTCCCGTTAGTGTTTACTCTCGTCTGTCTTCTTCTTCTGATTCCTATTCCTATTGTGTTTTCCACCTGTACAATCTTTCATTCCTCCTTTAACTCTCCTTCATTCATTTGTGAGATTCTCTTTCTGCAGCAATAGAGTGGTGCAGGAATGAGTTCGAAAAAAAGTCACCATTATTCCCCCTGAAGGATCCTTCATTTTGAAATCAACTCTTTTTTAATTATATTTTTTGTTAGATGTCAGAAATAAGATGGTTAAAAAAAGCTCAAGGGATTTCCATGTTTTGTTCTAATACATAAATTACGTGAGCAAGTACCCCACCGGCATTTGTCCAAAGCTTCTATGTGTTATTAAGAAGTGGGTGCTGACCACTAAACGTAATCACGACGAACAGGAGTTTGCCTTGCGATGATGATGATGATGATGATGATGATGATGATGATGATGATGATGATGATGATGATGATGATGATGATGATGATGATGATGATGATGATGATACGCAGCCAAGCCATTATGATGTAGTTCTTTTATAGCCTAACATTAGCTTTTAACTTCTGGCGATGCATTTACTATTAAAAAAAATCATACAAGTTGTGTTAATATCTGGAGATTATCATGCTGAGCAAAACCTGTTACCTGCCACAGATCTTATTTTCTGCAATACTAGAAAATATAATAAAAAAATCCCATTGCTTTGTTAAGGAAGTCCTTGTGATGCTGATTCCCGGGTCGGGTCGGCCTACATAGAATAATACTGCACACTGCACCACTCTGATCAACCTGAAGGAGAATTGGACTGGCACACACACACACACACACACACACACACACACACACACACACACACACACACACACACACACACACACACACACACACACACACACACACACACACACACACACACACACACACACACACACACAAACATACCATGTATACATTACTTCAGGGGACATTACAGTGACTTACATACATTTCCTGGAGACTTATCCTAACCTTAACCATAACAAACACATGCCTAACCCTAACC